CCCACCCCACCCCCGTTTTGTTTTTAGTCTGTGTATTTTAGTTGGATGATGATGATGCTTTTTCATCCTGTGCTTCTATATATTTTTCATAATTCGAGTGTGTTTTGAATTTGTGCAGAGAGAGGCGGGGAGCTAAGTAATAACTATATGCAGCGGTGTGCAGTGAAGACCTGGCTCCCACTTTCTGCCTAGGCCTCCCCAGGGCAAAGGGCCAGCCCCCAACAGAGAGAGAGAGCCCTTCACGGCTGGGGCCCGCCTGCCCAGGAGCCCCTCCACTCCAGCAAGCCCCTCCACAACCAGGAGCTTCTGTTGTCCACCAGGAAGGGAGCAGTCTTGTTACCCATTAAAATATTTATAGCCTCCCTTTTCTCCACCTTGTGGGACGCTCTGGCCACTTCTAGGAATGTGTAAAGTGAAGTTGTTCCAGCGGGCATGCCTATAAAGGGGACAGATCAAGGTGGGTCGCCCTGTGAGTCCCTCGGTAGCAGTAGCACAGAGCTAGGAAGCCAGGAGCAACTTAAAAGACCAACCAACTTTGGGGCAGGGTGGTGTGAGCTTTCATGACTCACTGCTCCCTTCTTCGGACACAGCAGATGTAAAGGGGGAAGAGCTCTGGTACCACAGAACTGGTCAGGAGGGGGTGGTCTGATTGCAGGGCTGAGGAGTTAGAAGAGGTGCGCCCATAAATAAAGCATTCCCAGATTTTGTTCTGCCAGCATGTTATTGTCGGAACATTTTTTTGCTTCAGTTTTTGTGCAATTGTTAATTTTGCCAACATCAGTAAGGTCGATACGAACGTTTCCAAGCTTTTTCTACTCCCAGTTGTACGCCATGTCTCCAGAAAGCTAGATTCTAAAGTGCAGGGTAAGACAATATCAACTATTAGTGCAATTTGTTGTATTGGCTGTGTCCAGTAGCCTTCTATTAGTGGACAGGACCACCAGCAGTGCACAAAGTCCAAGAGCACCACAGTTTTTCCAACATTTGTTTGAAATCTTAGGAGTTATCTTGTGTAGGACTGCCGGGGTCATGTACCACCTATTTAGTATTTTGAAAGAAGTAACCCTGATGCTAAAGATATTGGAAGTGTTACCGGGTGATGACCAGATGGAAGTGCATTGATCTTCCGTGAAGGACTTCTGGCCGTCTAGATGCCATGGCTGCGGAGACCCGAGAGTACTTGTTTTTTCACCCTTTCCTATTATTAGCTATTTAGAAAATAGTGAAGCAGTTCCAAAAAACCCCGCTATAGAAGCTGTTGTTCTTTTAACTGTTTGGTACTCAGTCTATACAAATGTTTGACTTTACTGTGATACTGTGGGAGTTACGTAAGAAAAACTGTTTAACTGAGCCGGTAATTGCTCTTTCTGTCTAATTTTGTTGTGTTTACGCTGTTAAAAATTAATAAAAACAAGTATTTTTTTAAAAAAGGAAGGGGGTTGTCGGTCTCGGCAGTGCGTCTCGCAGAGGTGACTTTACCCTGTTGGCACCGTTTTCTGAATTCCATCACCCAGCTTCTTTCTGGAGGCATGTGTCACTTTGACACTGCGTTTCATTGCACTGTCTGCTGTATGCCTTATAGCGTCTACTGCATTACTGTTTGATTTTGTAATCTGCCATCCGTTGTAAATAGATAAAAGCAAACTCCCCAGGCCCAGAGGCAGTTAAGCACTAGCCCTGTGCCTTCCGGAGACAGCCCAGAGATCCGGGGACAGGCGTGCTGGGTCTGCTATTCATGACTCTTACCCCTGATGGTTTAAAAAGTGCTTTACCTTAACTGCCTCAACTGCTGCTGCATTCGTTTGACACTACTGGGTTTTCTTTGCTATGTTGTGCTTGATGTTGTGTACTTTCATTCTCTGACTGTAAGCACCTGCAGCTGTGCTTAAAATACAATGTGAGATATAAACCCTTTAAACAAACAAGCAAGACATTCTAAAGGTGATAAAAAAGACTTATATTTTTTTCCTCCTCTGAATAATATCAAAATAAAAAGGCACAAGCTGATCAGAGTTCATGGAACTCCTTGCTCCAAGAGATACCTGCTGACTTCCCAAAGATGCCCTCCTGAAGAATGATGCTCAAACAAACCACCATGGTCACCAGTCAAGACTTTCAAGGGGTAGACCGTAGTGAGGGCTCATCCACTCCACTGGTAAAAGTCCCCCAAAGCACCCAGAGACCACAAACAACCAGCAAGGCCCCAATCCCTGATTATCGGCCTGTTGTGCGTTCACGGCTACATGGCAACAGGCAGCTTTCTCTCCTTGCTGGGAACATGGCAGGGTAGAAAGAGAGAGACCAAGAGTAACACTTGAATCCCGTGCGACTGCTGGGGTCAACAGGCCCAGAGGGAGGACCTGGTCTTGAAGGGGAAGTGGTCCAGGATCCCTCCTAGTCCACCCGAAAGGAGGGCAGACATTCCCTTTAGCAGAGATGTGGGGAACAGTCAGAGACAAAGACACACAGACACAAATTTCAATTCCCTCCTGTACTTTTAAGTGGTAGTGTTTACAGAGTCGACCAGAGTAATGGTGAAAATCTGCTGGCTGAAGAGGCCCTGTTTTCCACGGCTCATGTGTCAGTCAGGTGGCGATTCCGACCTGTACTTGCTACCTGCGGTCCTATTTGCCTCAGAGAAGGCTGGTCCCAAAAGGAGAGCTCCACCCCAAGGTGAGAGAATGGGAAGGGAGGAAGCAGCAAGCGGCCCCCGGAGAGGAGCCCTGACCCTGACCCTGGGCGCTCCGGGCAGCTCCCCATCACCAGCCACGCTCACCCACACCAGCTGCTCCGGGGCGGGCTCCAACTGCTGTGGCGCAGGGAACCTTTGGAGCAGAGCCCGCTGTCCCACAACCCACGCGGGATCGGGCCTCGGTCCCTCTCCCTGGCAGCAGCGAGAGCAGCACACGGGCCGAGGCAGAAGCAGTGCGTGCTCGGGGAAGGACGTGTGTGTGCGCGTGTGTGTGTCCTGCGGGGGGGGGGGGACTGCCTCTCACTCCCCGCCCACAGGACTGGGCTTGATCAGGCCGTAGGTGACGGCCCGGGCCAGGCACTCCGTGGCCGCCTGGGCCACTTGGGGCTTCTCCTTCTCCAGCCCGGTGAGGACGGACAGGATCTCCAGCGTCTCGCTCTCCATGAGCTTCTCCGCCAGCTCCTTCTCCGCCAGGACCATGTTCCTCACCACCACCACCCCGCGGTGCTGCAGCTCCAGGCTGGGGCTCAGCAGCAGGGCCTGCAGGATCTCCAGCCAGTGGACCGTCTGGGGAGCGGGAAGAGGGGCGGCAGCTGGGAAACGCACAGCCGGGCCCTGCCCCACACCCTCCCCCCCAGCACCAGGCACGGGCGCTCCCAGCAACCCCCCCCCACGCACACACACACAGGCCCCGTGTGCGGAAGCCCCGCCCCACACTCACCGCCTGGGGGATGCGGGGGCAGATCTGGGGCACCAAGGAGGTGAGCACAGCCAGGGTCCCCGCCGCCGCCCTCTGGAGCCGCTCGTCCTCCTCCCCGCTGTACAGCACCACCAGCTTCAGTCGGTCGCTCCCCTCGGCTAGGAACAGCTCCGCCACCTGCCCGGGAGTAAGCGCTGACTCGGGGCCCAGCCAGGAGCCCAGAGTCTCCCCATCCCCCACGTGCAACCACCCCCCTTGCTCCCCCCCCCCGCCAGCCGGCCCCCGCCCACACCTCCGGGCTGAGGGCCAGGTTGCACATGCACTCGGTGGCGGCCAGGCGGATCATCTCGTGCTCCTCAAACATGTAGCCCTCGACCATCGGCACCGCCTTCTCCTTCACGATCTTCTGCCTGCGGGAAGGAGAGGGTCAGGTGGGTGCCGCGCCACCTCCCCAGTCCCTGGCCACCAGGGCCCCCGCGCTCCTCCCGGCCGCCTCACCTGAGCCGCTCGCTGGTCCCGGCCAGGTTGGTGAGGGCCATCAGCCCCTCAAAGTTCTCCAGGCCGGTGCGCTTCACGTGCAGGAGGCTCACCAGGGGCCGGACCACTTCGTAGACCTGCGGGAAGCGAGAGAGCGGGGGGGCCCTCAGGCAGGGTGAAGGAAGGGCTGAGTGGCCCAGCAAGGGAGCCCACCCCCCTGCCCCACCCCACCCCGAGGAGGCAGGTGGAGCCAGCGTGGGCCCCAAAGACCGCCCGCAGCCCACACTGACCCTCTCGCCGGGGAAGGCCATCTCCGGGGCGGTGGTGATGGTGATCCTGGCGAGGGCCTGTGCTGCCCGGGTCTGCCCCACGTCCGTGCCGTCCAGCGCCAACGGGAGGAGAGCCTGGGAAGGGAGGAGCGAGAGGCACCGCTGCAGCAGCCGGGGCGCAGAGCCCAGGCACGGAAGGGCGCCACTACGGGGACCGGGCGGTGCTTACCTTGCCCCCTCCGTGGGCCACCACAACACCTCTGTCCTCTGGGTCCTCCACGAGAGCCAGGAACACCCTGAGACACAGAAGGGACACCCTGAGACAACGGCCTCGGGATGGAACCGGTGGGAGCGGCTGGACATGTACCCCTTCTGTCTGCACAAGTAAAAGCTGGGGGGGGGGCCCCCAAGGCAGCGGGCCTGGCCTGCGGCTCTGAAAGCTCTGAGAGATTCCGAGCTGCCAGGAGAGCCGGCACCACGGCCCGAGAAGCTGCTGGGGGGGGGGGTGTCGATGTCAGAGGGGGCCCCCAACGCAAATGCCTGTATCCTGCCCTTTCTCTGCTGGGTCTCCTGCACTTGGAGAGCCATCGGAGACCCTTTCGTGGCACCTCTTTGTGAGGATAAACAACAGCTATATGGCGGGAGAGGTGGCACGCGAGGCACCGGCTCTGAAGGTTAGTCCACTCAGTTCTGGGCAGAGGGGCTGCAAGAGCTTCCCTGGGGTGGGGTGGGCCGGGCCCACTGCTGCGTTGCTCCCGGGAAAGGGATGAGAGCTCCAGCGTGACCCTCCAGCCGGCCACGTGCCACTGGCAGAGTCTCGAAAGGCAGCAGAGGGGCGCGGAAGCCCTCCACCTCACCTGGAAATCAGCTCCCGGCAGGAGGCGCTGAGGGCAGGGCTCTCATTCTTCACCATGCAACTGAGAGCCGACACCACCCCTGCAGCCAGCAGCTTCCGCACACGCCGGCGCACAAACTCCGGCTTGTCCTGGGCAGCCAGAGACAAGGAATCAGGGCCCGCAGGAGACACACGAGCGAGGGGAGCCCACCCGCCCTCCCCCGCCCCACCCACCACCCAGGCTCTGCGTGTGTGCCGGGGGGGGAGCCCCTGCCCCGAAGCCCCCACCACCACCACGCTTGCTCTCTGGGCCCCTGCTCTCGTCACCTTGGGGTGCTTCTCGGGGATGTGCTGCTTGGCGTACTTGGCCAGCTCCACCATCTGGGGATCCAGCTCCTCCTGGTCGTAGCTGCTGGTGCAGTTCACCATGGCAGATGCCACCGCGAACATCACGGTCCTGTTCTCTGACTGGGAGCAGCAGCGGGAGGAGGAGGAGGAAGAAGAAGGCACAATTCAGCCAACGCCGTTTCTGGGCAGGCCACCTTGGAAGAACACCCGTCCCGTCCCCCATCAGCCGCTTCTGCAGACAGACTGGGATGGACAGTGGGTACGGGGAGCCTCCCCATGTGCCCCCCCTCCCCCGCCCAGGCCAAAGCAGCCCTCCACAGCCCCGGCCCACTCCCACGGCAGCCGCACCCGTGCCAGCTGGAAGAGGGCTTGCAGGGCTGCCTGGTCCTCCGCGAGCTCTTCCTTCACGTCTGCGTCCAAGGTGAGATACGCCAGGCCCTCCGCCGCCCAGTACCGCGTGCCCGCGTCCATGCCCTTGTTGCACAGCCACCTGGGGGGAGGAGGGAGCGTGGCGTGATGAGCACAGAGGACGAGATGCCGCCCCCCTCCCCCTGCCCCCCCCCGGTGCTGCTGCGGAGAGCACCGGTCCTTCCCCACTGAATGTGCCACAGCGGCCCTCTGCGGGCGGCACTCACTTGCGACACTGCTTCGCCAGCTTCAGAGTCGAGCCTTCTGCAAACTGCTTCATGCTGAAATCCGTGCCGCCGGCTGAGCCCAGTTTGCAGAGGCCCTGCAAAGGGAAGAGGCAGCTGCAGCAGGAGTGGGGGGGGGAGGGGGGAGGAGCCCCCGCAGCCCCGCCTTCCGGCCCCCTCAACTCACCACCAGAGCCCGGATGCGAATGCTGTCCTGCTCGCTGTGCTTGTAGATCTCCTTCAGGAGTGTGGCGCCGTTGGCAGTGATGAAGGAGGCGTGCTTCGCCTTGTCCGCCGCGTGGATCAGGGCTTCCACGGCCACCAGCTGGTCAGCCCCCTGCGAGGAGGCGCACAGGGACAGGATGCTCTCCATGATGCCGTTCAGCTCCAGCACCCGGTTCCCCGCCTCGAAGGGGCCCTGCAAGAGGCACGACACGGCCCGGATGGCCTGCAGCTTCCCAGGCATCCCCTCGCCCTGGAACCAGCCCCTGGAAGGGAAAACACCTCTGGCCTATCAAGAGAGCCTCTCAGTCGAGGACACAGCAAGGAACCCAACTCTTCAGGATAACAAATTCAGGGTTCCGAAGCAAACCACCATTATGCAAAACAAAGAAAAGGAAGAAGAAGAGTTTGGATTCATATACCCCATGGCCCTTCACTACCCAAGGGAGTCTCAGAGCGGCTCACAGTCTCCTTTCCCCAAGTCTCCCCCCCCCCCAAACTATTCACTAAACTGGCATCACGGAATGTCTGAAAGTCTGATTTGAGAAAAAAATTATCAAACAGCTGAATGGTAGCCAACCGATGTGTCTAACTGAGGGCAAACTAAAAGAAAGAAAATACGTGGTCCAAAACACCCAGAGTAGAAGGGGGAAAGACCCCCCCCCCGCCCCGTTCACGGTCTCTGCCCCGTCCCTCCCAACCCACAGAGGCGGCACTGTGGGCCCCAGAGCCCCCTACCTGATGCAGTTTTCACAGAGCAGGTGGAAGTTCTCCCGCTCCACGTCGCACTTCAAGTCCCCGTAAAGCTTGCTGAGCAGGACGGCCGCACTCATGTGGCTGTTCTCCGTCACTCGCAGGCCGCCGGGCGCCTGGGCCACCGTGCCTCCCACCGCCAGGATCTCCTTCAGACCTGCCAGGAGGAGGAGGGGGGCTCGGTGAGGTGAGTCAAGACCCCAAGGGCGGGAGGGACAACACGGCACCCCCGTGCTCACCCTGGTCAATGACCCAAAGGGCCAGGCTGTTGTTGGGTTCCTGCGGCGACTTCCGAGGCACCACCGTGATCAGCAAGTTGAGGATGCTGTCGCGGCCGTAGGAAGAGATGCTCTCCCGGGTCAGGGCTTCCAGCAGCTGCTTGAGCAGCAATTTCAGCTCCTTGGATGTTTCTGAAGGGAGAGCAATTGCGGGGGGCATCAGCGGCTCAGTCCTCCCTACCTCAGGCTGCCACCGGAATGCCAGCTGGGCAGGGCGGCTGGCGCAGAGGAAGCGAGAAGCACGGAGCGGACCGTAGTCGGGCCAGGCTGTATTCCTGTGCCAAAAAGGCAATTTAGGCAGCCCCCCCCCCCCCCAATTTAAGAACACGAAGGTCAAGGAACTGGTCCTCATAAACGTGCCCAGACTGGGGTGACCTTCAAAGACTAGGAAGCAGCCCACACAGCCCCCATTCCTTCAGACCGTAAGAGAACCCACACGCCTCAGGGAACAGGAGGACCCCCCACCACACCATCCCTGAACAAGTAAGTCCCCCCTTTTTATTTACTATCAAACACCCAGCCAAGACCGGCTCAGGGCAGCTAACAGAACAAGCAAAAGACAACAGTAAATAATTTTAATAGCCTTGAAGCCATATAAACAATTTCAGCATTAAGAGGTGCTAGTAATAGCGATGCTGATAAGTCAATTAGAAGGTTAACAAGTTAATGGCAAGAAGAAGAAAATTTGGTTTTTAGATCCTGCTTTCTTGTTTTATTTATTATCAGATTTATACCCCCGCCCCCTCCCAGCCAGAGTCGGCTCTACCGTAAGAAATGCCAAAGCCGCTTACAATGGCCCCTCCCTTCCTCTCTACCCAGCAGTTGCGGGACTGGCCCAAGGTCACCCAGGAGGCTCCGTGTGGAGGAGGAGGAGGAGGAGTGGGGAACCAAACCCGGCTCTCCCGTCGACGTGAGTCCGCCGCTCTCAACAGCGACCAAGACTGGCACCCCTACTGGGGTGTGCAAGAAAACACTCACCAGACACCAAGGCTTCTTCCTTGCCACGCACCTCCCGCTGCAATCCCTCCTTCAGGGAATCGAACATGACCTGCAGCAGGCTACAGGCGACCAGGGAGACCTGCTCATCCTCCAGCTCCAGCATGGCAAAGAAACGCCGAGGCCCCAGGGCTGTCAGGACTGCCACCGTCTGCAAAACAGGCCCCCAAGCTCTGAGAGGCTGGGAAGGAGGACCCACGCCAACCTCCGCTCCTCCTCCTCTCTCTGTGCAGACCACTGCTGACAATCCCTCGGGGAAGAAGCCACACCCAAGAGAACGAGTGCAGGCAACAGGATACGGCTCTTCTGCTCTGTGTGCCAAACCCGTGTGCTACCCCACCAGGAGGACAATTTCAGCCGCTGGGACGATGCCCAAGCTGGTTTCCAAGACAGAAGTGCCACCACAAGCAGACAGACTTTGAAGACCTGAGAAAGAGCCCGGCTGTCAGACTCAGGCCTTCAGTAACAGGCAAATGGCTGTCACCTGATGATTTACCTGCTTTTGTCTTGTTATCCCTTCCCTGTAATTTACCTGCTGCAGTCTATCTAGCTGCATTAGAAGAAGCAGGAGCCAGACAAGTCTCTTCTCACTTGGTGAGGCTCCGGGGGGGGGGGGGGGGGGAGTGTGTGCGCATAGTGGAATAAGGAGGCTCGCTTGGTAATCTTCCGAAGACGCCTCAAAGACATTGTTCACACAGGAAACGTCTTTGGAGTGAAGTCTGTGCCTGGCTACATAGTGGTTGTGTATCTTTCAGGACCACTGTAGTAACGCTGATGTCGAGTGCATGGAATCTGGGGTTGCAACCATACCTTGTGTTTCCCGCCTTGCAAACCAGTCCTAACAAAGAGTTTGAATCCACAGCATCTCCCACGGGCTCAGCCAACAAAACATCACAAAGGGAATGAGCAGGAGCTGCCTCTGCCGGCACTCCCCCACAGGGCAGCCGGGCGTCTGCTCTCCAGGCAGCCACCCCCTGGATACAGCCTCCCCTCATGACCCCGGAAAGCAGCAGCAGCAGCTCTCAGGAGACCCACACATACCCGGGAACGATGACCCCGGCAGAGACCAGTCAGGGTACGCAGAGCTGCCAGGACCATATCCAGCCCATCCGTGTCCAGCAGTTGCAGAAGCAGATGGACCCCATCGTTCTGGAAAATCTTCTCCGCTCCAGGCTCCTCTCGGGCTAACACTATCAGGTTCTGGGCGGCCTGGCCACGGGGAGGTGGGGGGGGGGAGAGAGAGAGAATAATTCAGTCTGGCAAACAACAACAACCCCCCCTCGGTCTTATAGAAGAATCTCCTGCCAACGCAACTCTCACACAAGAGGTGCTGCTGCAGATGTTCCCAGATGTTGAAGAGAGAAGAGAAGAAGGGATTGGATTTATACCCCACCCTTCACTACCCAAAGGAGCCTCAGAGCGGCTTACAAACTCCTCCCCCCCCCCAACAGACCGGCACCCTGTGAGGCCGGTGGGGCTGAGAGAGCTCTGACGGAAACTGCTCTTTTTTCAAGAACAGCTCTGACAGAACTACGGCTTGCCCAAGGTCATCCAGCCAGGTGTAAGGACTCCCAGATTAGAGTCCGCGCACTTAACCAGTACACCAAACAAAAAGATCTGCACTGCTCGTACTCCCCACCACCACCACCCTGGCTGGAACATGAAACCAAAGCAGAGCATCACAGCTAGACTATGCATCAGGCGTACCTAGCAATGCCAAAACCACAACTAGTAATGCACAATATAAAACTTAGGAAAGGGAGAGTATTTTAGCGAACTTTCCTCCTATTGCTACTCCTGGAACCAGTGATCTCCCACCAGGTCTCCTGGCCGCCATTTGCCAGACAACCCTGCCCTGAATGTCCATGTGCCCCATGTGCCTCTCAAGAGAGCTGACTCAAAGGGCCCACCCCATGGCCACAGGCCAAGCCCCTGCTTCTTGCTCCCCAGCCCTCAGAGGCTGGACCCATACCTTCTGCTTCTTGTCTTGATCCTTTTCCTCAGGGTCCAGCAAGACCCTGAACATCTGCTCCACTTTCGAGTCGGTTGAGGCTGCCGATTTCACCTGGAAGGAAGGAAGGCCGGGGCAGGTAAGTGGTGAGGTGAGGGTGTGCCCACCTGCCCCCACCCCACCTCTCTACCTACCTTCTCGTGCATGCAGCTGCCGAGGTTACGCAGCGCCTCCTGCAAGGCCCGGTTCTTGGGCTCCAAGCTGACGCAGCGCTGGAGGTCCGAGAGGGCCTGGTCCAGGCGGCCCAGTTGCTGCAGGGCTTGGCTGCGACGGAAGAGCCCCTTCACGTCCCCCGGGTCAACATCAATGGCTGCCCACCACAGAGAGAGCGAGAGATGAGTCAGCGGGGAAGGGGGTGATGGAGGCGGCCAGTGACAACCCCCCCCGTCTCCTTATTCTACTAATTTACGTAACTCACCTATAGAGCCCGCCCTTCCCCCCAGTGCATCGTTCTCCTCTCCTTTGTCCTCACAGCATCCCTGCCAGGTGGGCTAGGACCAAGGTCATTGGCAGGGGCAAGATGGGATCTGAACCCAGGCTTCCGTGATCCTGGTCCAAACCCTCCAGCCACTATATCCCGCTGGCCCTCCTCTCCCTTACCTTTGGAGGCATCCTGCTCGGCCTGCGCGTAGTCCCCCTGGAGAGAGAGAGAAGCCTCAGTGAGGAGGAAGGGGCTGATGCACAAATCTGTGCCCCATGTGACCAAATAAGGAACACACAGTTTGGGTCCAGGGAGAGCATAAATATCTGTTTATTGCAAAAATCCAGGACTGGACACCTTGGCACCCAGTACCGGCCAAGCTGTATTCTGCCCCAACCAGGAAGGGCCATAGGTCTTCTACCCCCAAATGACCTCATTACGGTTTATACATTAAGAAATCTTTAATCATTGGCATCCAACAGGTCTCGTCATCAAAGCATCAATTGAGCTGGCACCTCTCTGTGGGCAAGCTCCTCTCTGGATCAGAACCACAAGCCTTCACGTTTCCTCTTATCTGGTCATGGAAGACACGAGGGGCTTTTCAGGGACAACGAGGTCTTCTTTTGGCATCACTCCTGGCTTATTTGCCTCAGCCTGGAGCGAGGGAGTTTTCTGAGAAGGCACAGGAAACTTAGCTCTGGGCGGACTCTGTGGGGCCAGGCGCTCTCTTCCACCCAGGAAGTCATTTGTTTTGAGAGCACTGACCGCACTTCTCCAGCGTCCTTCAGCTGAGGAGCTTGTCATTCCAAAGCATCCATTCCATCCCACTATCTTCTGAGTCTATCTAAAAGAACCTTTGGCAATCAGAGGCCCCCGGTCACATGGGCCAGATAACGCGGGGGGGGGAGAGGCGTGGCCTTTTGCGCCAGCACAATTTAACCGCCGCCGCGGCAAAGCGGGGTCTTGTTTGTCGGTGCGTGTTTCCGGCACGTTAACATGGCGAGAGGCGCGCGCTTGAGCGATCACACATAGGGATTCCGTCGATGGCCAGTGGCAAACCGTTTGCTCGCGGGCTTTCCCGGGTACTTTTTAACTCCGAATCTTCGGGGCGGATGCTACGGGCCGGTGATGGGCGTGCAACGCTTGCCAGAGGTGTCCTTGTGGCCGGCCCCTACACTCCCGCCCGACAGGCGTGCCTCTCCGACAGGGCTGGCTAGAGGTGTTTCTGCGCCCTAGGAGAGGCTGCCTTGTGGTGCAGATGTCAACCTCCCAGTGGGGCCTGGAGACCTCTGGAGCCAGCCACCCTTTTGCTGCCGCCACCACCACCTCTTCCCCCCCCCCCCCCCGCCCCCAAAGGGGGGGGGGAAGCACAGCTTGGCACCCCATCCAGGGCCCGGCGCTCTAGGCGAATGCCTAGTTCGCCTAGTGGGTGAGCCGGCCCTGCTCTCCGTGTGAAGCTCTGAGGGCTTCCATTCCAAGTCCCTCCCTGCTTGGGCGGAAAACGCCAAAGACCCTCAAACTCTCAACGGGACGCACCGTGGCAGCACCGGCACATCCACCGGGTCCCTTGTTCCCCCCCGCCCGCCCCCCCGGGGGACTCACGCGCTTGAGGTGGCAGGCGGCGCGGTTGCGGTGCAGGGCGGCCCTCTCGGCCCGCGGCGGGTCGAGGCTGAGGGCGCGCGCGTAGGCCTCCAGCGCCGCCTCGTAGCGGCCCGCCTGGAAGTCCTCGTTGCCCGCCCGCCGCAGCGCCGACGGCGAGGAAGAGGCCGCCGCCTCTGTCTCCTCCTCTTCCTTCTCCTCGACGGCGGCGACGCCGCTCCCGTTCTCCTCGCTGGCCGCCATGCCGCTCCCGGAAGTCCCGCCCCCTCCCCCGCCGGCCGCTTCCGGGAAGCCCGGGGAAG